CTGGTAGAACATTGTATTCTGTGTTTTTAGTATTAGTAGCATTGCTGTCCCTAACATGAGCAGGTGTAGGTAATTTAATTATGTGTGGTCTTTCAGAACTATGGTAAAGTGACTGGAAAATTGATCAGTTTTCTTTGCTCTCCTTGGCCCATTCTTCCCTCTGCCTATATAGTAATTCCATTTCTCAGCTGTGGTAGCATTTTCCTTTGAAATGTTGGTAATTGCATACAAGACTCCATGTTTGTCACAACCCAGAAGGCAATCTAGAAAAGTAATAACTACATTTTCTTTACCATTACATCCACACTTGCATGCAGTTTATTTGGCTTTCTATTTTTTGAAGCTGTGATTTGTTATGAATTCTGTAGTGCATAACATTAATGATGATGTAGTCTAATGACTTTGCTACTATTCATGCAAAGAGGAATGATGCTTGAAGTGGAACACTGACTTTAGAAATACTCCTATATTGGAATGCTGAGGTACCTTATTGTTGCCAAATGTTGTTTAATTTGTGAATGCACAGTAATGATTTACAGTGATTATTGGAACTGATTTAAAGTACAGTATACTGTATTAGTGCTGATGGTGAATATTTGTACATACTTTGTTTCATTCATTCCAAAAAGTATTTAAGGTAATTGTGTTAATTAATAAAATGAACTTGATGAAAGATGTGTTGTGATCGTGGAAGGCAACATGGAGATTTATTCAGTGTTGCATATTAATTTGATGACAATCTTAAATAAACTGTTATTGTATGCAATGAAGAAACTAATAATTATGAGGCATCAATAGAATACAGCACTTCAGCTTCTGATGTGGAGCGATGAGAAAAGAAAACTTGATTCCCAGCAAGACAAGATTTTTCTCTTCATCACAACATCCAGACCAGCTCTAGGGCCCATCCATCATCTTGTCCAGTGGGTTCTGGGGGTTTTTTCCTCCAGGGTAAAGCACCCAGGGCATGAAACCATCATTCATCTCCATCCAGTGCTGAGGTTAAGAATGCATGGAGCTGTACCTCCACTCCCCCTGATGTCTGCCTTATGTGGTGTTTACTTAAACAGCAAGAACTTTACCTCAGAATATAATGAGTCTTGAATTTTCAGATTGGGATTGTATTTCATTAATTTTGGTGAAAATTCTCGAGAGGTTTGAGGTTCTCATTCTTCATGAAGATGTTAATGTGGTCTTTTGGACCCACTATGTGTGCTTGTAGGTAGATACTAATATCTCAGAGGAACATTTTACTTCCATATTTGGGTCTTATGTTATTATGTACCTACAAGTCCAGATGGTGTTAGAACCCAGAAGAACATGTTAGAGTTAGTGCTTAGTTTAATATCCTGAATAGACCTTTGGAAGTCAAGGTATCATCAGGGCAATGATGGAAGCAGTAAGTACCTCTGAAATGCTGGTCAGTTTGTACCAGACTGCCGGGCACAATATCACAGAAGACAGTCATTTTCATACTGACTGCTCCGAGAACCTGAAATCTCATTTGTGGTTCGTATGTTCTGCAATTTAATTAGTATTATGCAAGACACGGTTACAAAGAAGGTAATTTCTTCCAGATTCAAGCAGACAGAAGAGGATCTGCAGACTGGAATGTACAAGATCTTGGAACACATCAAGAACCATGATGATGCGTGGCCATTTGCGGACCCTGTAGATGAGGACTACGCTCCGCGATATTACTCAATTATCCGTCAGCCCATGGATCTTCAACGTATGGAAGATAAACTGGATGATGGAGAATATCTGACATTTGCTGACTTCAAGGCTGACTTCCAGCTCATAGTAGACAACTGTCGCCAGTACAATGGAACTGGCAATGGTAAACCTAGTATACATGTAATTACTTTCGTTTAACCCTTATGCTGCTTTCCTAAAGGAGTGTCATTTTATGGTAAAAATCTGAACTCAATTTGATGGTCTGGTTATTATGTACATGAATAAAATTTAAAAAAAACTCTGATAGACCAAGCAAGTAATCACTATTATATTTAAAAAACACTTTATGCAATCGTATAAGTGTTTAAAATTGAGAAACGGTGCTACAGGTATCAAACTTGCTTTCAGAACATGAAATCGTCACGAGCATAGAAATCCCTGTGATGTTTATGTACAGCTTTAAACTCTTCACATTACATTACAGACCAACAAGAATGTGTTTTGTAGCTTAGACAGCAAAGTCAAATGTCGCAGCTGAAGGGAGAACATTATTCTTTGATGTGGACTGAACTTGATATTGCTGTATAAGGTAAATGCACAGACATTTAATTAAAGATTTATGTTGCAGCATAAGGATTTACAAAAGGAAATGAAATGAGTTTTAGTAAGTTGAAACCTGTCTTAAAATTAACTACACCTGTTTCACAGTGATGATTGCCGAATTTATGTAGTTTATGTCAGTGAAAATGATGTTACATTGCATCAGTGATAAATCTACTGGGCTTTAAAAAGTATGCCACATCCAGCTTGTGAAACTGAAAATTAATTTACCATCTCAAAGCCACTTGGGGAATATATTATTATTGTTGTTATTGTTGAAATATTATAATCTTACATTTTTGATGGCATGTAAGCCATTTTTACTTTCTTTAACTACTGTGTAGTTGATAGGGGCAGAATAGTTGGAAAGATACTGCCAACATATATACATAATTTTTAACAAATTATTGAATATATGCACACATTTCTTTTGTGTTTCTCTGTTCATGCAAATTCATGAATACTGTCTTGTAAGTAAGTTATTATTTATTGAAGTTTATTTGTTTTGTCAAAAGTGACCTTTGATCTTTTTGAATAGTATTAGAGCTGTCTGGGGTCAGTGGCCTTTGCATGGGTGCGGTTTTCTGCACCTGTCTGTCTTCAGATTCCCCCTGCATGGTTTCAAGTTTACTTCCTTGTGCAGAAATGCATGTAGGTCTTTATATGAAATGTTTGTTGTTCATTAAATCCCATATTTGAAGATATTTTTACTATTATCCTCCAGTCTGTGCCTAGGTCTAATGAATAGTCTCTTCAAATTTTTTGACTAAAATTTTGTATTTGTTTTGAATTATATGTATTTACTTCAGTTTAATTCTTTATTTGTTTGTTTTTTGCATTTAGAGTGCTTTATTGTTATTAACATGTTTTGGACATCACTAAATAGACTTCTGAATCAGGAATGGATGGGCTTTTTTTGTTTTTTCTGTCTCTTGTAATCTTCTTTGTGGTTGAATGTTTCAGTATATTAATATATTTAGTATACATTTAGGTTTACATGGAAGTGCTTTAATTTTATTTAATTTAATTTGTTGTAAAGCAAAGATGAAAATTATGTCTTTCTTGACAGAGTATACCGAGATGGTAGGAAATCTCCAGGAAGCCTTTCAGATGGCTGTTGAACGTTATCTAGAGTCGGATCCATCATCAGATGAAGAAGTGGCTGTTGAATTTCCAACGGGAGCATCCTCAGAGAGTCGAACAGAAACGCAGGGACACAGGCATAAACATCATCGTGCTCGTAGGAAGAGAGAAAAATCACGCCAATCATCACATATCAATAGGTAAATTAATTTTCATCCTATTGAAGACTAATAGACATATTTCACGAGAATTCAAAGTTTTGACACTGCTGATGCAAAATCTGACCATTGGACACAATACTGAAATCTGTTTTGTCCAACTCTAACTCTTACAATATGTGTCCATGAGATCTTATTTTTCCAGAAATTTCTGTCTTCAAAGATTCCCCACCAGAATTCTGTGAGCATGTCTTTGTGTCCTCTCTTCAAGCTACGTGTCCAGTATATAGTGCCTACTTGATTTTATTATCGTATCAATACTAGGAGATCTATATAAATTGCAGAGTTTCTCATGTAATATACTAAAGTGCCCATTCATCTCACTTGCACCTATATATTTTTATGAGCTCTGTATTTTCAAGCATTTGTAAATGTTCACCTCAGAATAAGAGACTGGATAGACCAGTGTTTCTTAATTGGGGCACTGCTACATGAGTTTAAATGTTGCATGACAGTTTGAATTCTACATACCTAACAATTTTTTACGAAGTATGGATATCACATTGAGATCTTCAGCTCTGTTTTGTCCCTGCATCAACCTGTACTGCTGTCATCATGCTAAACTTTTGCTGTCTCTGTAATTTTCATGGTATTTTAATATCTTTTAAATACTGTGATTCTCAAAATAGTCATTTTGAAATGTAATATTTTGTCTGTCACTTCATTGTATTGCTATTTTTCTTAAATGTCGTTAATCTCTTAATTTTTTCTACAAACTGTAAGGCATATTAAAAAAATTAAATGAATGAAAATATAATAAAGTTTGAAAGATAATATTAAAATATATTCTGGTTTGCTCCCATATCAAAAATATTTAGGAAAACTGATATGAACAGAGGAACTTATTTAAAGGTACGTATATTGGCAGTTTACCAATTGTTGATTCCAGGAATGCTCCCAGTCCCGAGAGTGAACACACACTGCAGTCCAGTACTGCAGAAGAGAGAGAGGACATGCCAGCTGCAGTAACAAGGGAGAAGGACCAGGAAGATAAGATAGATCACCTGGGGGAAGGTAGTGTGGACACTGACGGAAGCAGTACTAAGGATGATGCTACTGAACCGAAGAGGCCTCACAGTCATAACGGTACGAAACGCAGGAAGAAGACTGGTGTTATCAAGAATGTGGCAGAAATAGAAGCACTGGAGCTAGCTACTGAACAGACACTAAAGGTACAGTTGACTTTGTTCCTTTCAGAATAGTTACAAAATTTTACTTTGGTAAAAGGCTAACTGACTGACTAATTCCTAAATTATCAGAGTTAGCAGATCAAGCCTGATATTGAACCACACATTATCCACAGACTATCATAAATGATTTCTTACATAAAAATTTATATAACTCTGTAAGAAAATTTTATTAAATTTTACTGTTATTAATAGTAATATATGAAGGGATAAGGAAGAGTCAGCACTCAGTGAATTGATAGCTCAGTAAGGTGGAAGTAAAGATCATACATTGAAATGAAATGGAGGTTCATAACTTAAATATGATTTTATTTAATTGATGGTCTTTTGGAAGTCAGATAACTATTAAGATAAAATATATTGACGATGAAAAAGGAAAATTCAGGGTATAGAATTGAAAAGTGTAAGAAATTAAATGTATTTAAAAAATTTCACTGCCTTTTGTCTTAATATTTTTAATGTTAGTCTTGTTTTAAAATGTGTTCATCAATCTAATTTGATTGTTAATGTAGTACTGTAATAATGTACATGTTTGGATCACAGGATATCAACAAGTGGTTGGATGATACCCCACGCTTTTCTGAATTCTCATCAGCAAGTAATTCACCTTCACATCTCATTGGCGCTGAAGAATATGAAGTGGTAGGATCCCGTATAGAAAGTGAGTATCGGCGCAGTCTTAAATTAGACCGGCCTCCATCTAGAACATCATCCCGCAGCAACAAAGATGGCAAGGTGAGAATCATTATGTACTTGCAATTTATGATCATCTTCACGGCTTAGTGTTATATAACCCGTACTGTTAAAAGGCTTTGTGGAATTGTGTAATAATCAGCCAATTCAAATCGCTTTAATAGCTTATGATCTAATGGCACATGTCATAACCTGGCAATCATATGTAAAAAGCCTTTTACTGCCCCCGCAAGTCAGTCTGTCAAACTTGGACCAGGTTTGAGGCAAGCTAAACCTGGGGACCCAACAGATTGTTTTGTTCTGTTCTCCGTTTACCTGAAGACAAAAGTAGACCAGTTTCCAAAATGTAATGAACGGTGTCCAAAAGAAGAATTTAACACAGTGTAACATACTATCGTCAGAAACCTTCAAACTTTAATTCCTAACTCTTTAGACATAAGGGAGAAGGACAAGAAGCAGTGTGAAGGTATTTTTCCATAGGTGGCTCGAAACACTAGCGTGTTTTTACCAGTATAGGTTGTCCTCTCTGTAGTTCATTCACTGTATAATCTTTCTTGCATTAACTGTGAGTTATCTCTGATTGAAATCTGCAGTGCACTTGTTATATGTTTCAGAGTCATTACAGCCATTTTTGGCATATTACTTTCCATTAAGGTTATCAAAATATGTACTTTATATTGAAATGTATAACAGTATAATATACTTCTAACTAAACTACTAACTGTTTGCTGTTTAAATAGAAGTCTTATTGTTGATTGAGTAAAATGGAACATGCATATTCTTATGTAATTACAGGATTTGATCAACAAGAGGCGTTCTATCAAGGATTCTACCAAACAGCACCAACAGCGTCGTCGTGAGATTCAGAGAACTATTGAGCGTCTTCAGCCAGGGAAAAGTAAAGGAAATTTGATCTCAAACATTCAGAGTGCAAACAAGGCAGCAGATGATGTGGGGGGCTGTAGTGGTTTGCTAGGGCTTGGTGGTAAACCTAAGGAAAACAGGAACTCTTTATTGGTGAAGGCAGATGAGGCCATGCCCAAGCTGAGTCTAGGCACTGTTCTCACAAGTGATGTGCTAGGTTTTGGTGTGACAGGACGCAACAGTCATAACTTTAACTCTTCAGAAGGAACACCTGTAGAAGACAAGAAGCCAGCTGTGCTGTTGTCTGGCTCAGAGGAAACTGGTTCTTCTCCAGGAGACATCCACAATAAACTTTCTCCTGAAAAGCAAAAACAACTGCTACCAGGAGGCTCACAGAGTCCAGGAATCAAGAAGGAAGATGAGAAAACTACAGCTGAAGAAGGACAATCAAATAGCAAAAATATCAAGCAAGAGAAAGTTACACCTAACCTCAGTGCCTGGTTTAAAGCTTTTGGAGCCCCCAAGACAACTGTTATACAGAAACAACGGAAACCAGAAGTATCAGCACAGCAAGATGTCGATACATACACAGAAGAAAGAAAGCTGGAAACTGTTCATAGTCCAAGTCCAGTTCCAGCAGATGTGCCTTCTTGTAGTGGAACACAAGTTGTGAGTGACATGGGACTGAGACCACCTGTACAAGAAGATTTAGATAAGAAAACAGATGATGCACCAAGCAGCCCCACACAGCAATCAATTGCACCAGCACAGCGTCAAAGAAAAGTCAGTACAGGCAGCAGCATGTCTGAGCGGTCATCTTTCAGTCAGGACCCGATGGATCCACTAGATGGATATCCTGCTCCATATCCTTCCCCTTTGCACCGTTCTCCCATGGCAGCATCCCCTGTTATGGCTTCCCCAAGACCAGAAGACACTCCAAAGCCCACTGCCTCATATCCACCTCTGAATGGCACTATACGTGTTGGATTCTATCAAGACATCTCATTTAGTCTCCAGAAGAGCAGCCCAGAGAAAAGCAACAGTAGCTGCAGTCCCCAGTCACCATCCCCATTCCACCAACAGCCCATCTATTCTCCTCGCTATCCTCCTCCACATGATACGTCAGGCTATCTGACATACCGTAACCCTGCACCAGGTCCACCACAGACTTATGATGGTTTGCCTGTTCCTCCATATAGCCCTGTAATGCAGTACTATGATACCAGTAAGCCCTTGACTGATCAGTACCGCGCAGCTCGTACACAGGCATCAGAGGAATATATTCCTGGAAATCTGTCCCTTTCATACACTAGTGGCCAGCAGCAGGGCTACCCATCTCCAACTCCCGCTTCTACTAGCTCTCTGCCATACGTTGCAGACCGACAGTCAGGATTTCAGTTGTCTGTACCACGACCTAGCTCTGCACTTCAGTCTCCGTCTGTACCTGCTACTAGTTCAGGATTCCTTGGATCCTTGCCATATACTAGTAATCAGCAACAGGGCTATGACATATCTATGCCAAGGCCAAGTGCTCTTCACAAATCAGGACATTCAGTTGTCACCAGCTCTGTACCGTTTAATACCAGTCAACAGCAGGTTTATGACATTTCAATCCCACAACCAAGTTCCACAAGCAAAATATCTGCATCAGCAGTGACAGTTCCTAGCACTGCACCACCCTTTATGTCTGACCGGCATCAAGAGTATGACACATCTGTACCACGAACTAGCACAACAAAGGTTTCTGGTACTGCATTTCCAGTTAAGAAGCGGCTGTATAGTGACGTTGAATCTGGCAGTGGGCTTCAGCTTCATCACCAAACCAGTAGTCGACTGCATCCCTCTCCTCCAAGTCCTGTCACAACGTCATCAGTTACAATACAAACGCCTCCACCAGCAGGGCTTTCACAGCCTATAAACCTTACTCCACACACAACAGGTAACAGGCTTACTAACTCCACACTTGGAAATGCACAAGCAGGTGGGAGATTGGATCGGACCTCTCCTGTGAATGCACCTCAAGCCCAGTATTCTGCATTGACAGAACAAGTATGCACATCTCCAGTCTCTGTCCCAGTAAGTGGTCCTGAAACGCCTATTTCCCAGGTTAGTGAAAGGTTACTTCCAACTTCAGAGCAGCAGACCATGCCAGAAAGAATTATATCTAATCCAATAACAGAAGCAGATGTAGCTCAGCATCCAGATTCTGTATTGCAGGCTTCTGAAAAACCCCATCAGTCCACAGGTCCTCATGTGACAGACAAGCTATACAGTGAGGAAGTAATGCAGCCATCAGAAAGGATGCATCTGACTGTAACATCTCCAGGTGGAAACCATCAGACATCATCTGTATCAGGACTGAATATCCAACAGTCTATTGATTCATCACACACATCCCGCCTGGTATCAAGTAAGCAACCACCTGCAGATCACCTTCGACAAAGTCCAATAACAGTACGTGTAGGAAATGATATTACTTTCCACAGGGGACCATTTTCACCTGCAGCACCATCGCCCATGAGCAATTTTACTAATCTTTCCCACATTGTGGATCGTTTCCCCAGTGACGGGTCTCCGTTCTATACAACAGGTGGAGACAAAAATCGCATATTTGGCCAAGGATCAGTACAACCTCCCATTTCATCTGCAGCTGCAGCTATGGCAATGTTTTCACAGCCTGCTCCTACCATTTCATATAACCGCTCTGTGCCTGAGCTGTCATCGGTGCTATCCAGCAAAGTCTCTGATGTGCAATCTGTGTACAGTAGGACTATGCCCGAACTCTCTTCTGTGCTTCCTGGTAAATCAGCTCCTCCTATTAGTGTTCGACCACCGTCATATGACAGAGCAGTATCTGAACTCTCAAATTATGGCCGCCAAACCATGGAGATGTCCACCAGCTTACCAAACAAAGCAACTCCCCCCATGGAAGGACAAACAAGTTACAACCACTCTGTGGCAGACCTCCCTTCAGTGTTGACCAACAAAGTGCCCCCAGCCACAGCCATTAATGTTGCCACACCGACCTATAGCAGGCCAGTGGTTGTGACGGACTTCTCCGTGGCGTCCACCAAAGTGCTACCTCTTGTGGAGGCCTCGCCTTTATCAGTGTCTGCTGTGACTGCATCCAAACCAAAGCTATCTCGTAAACGCAAAACAAAACAGGTGCAGCAACAACAGCAGGTGACCTGCAGTAGTGACACCTCAGTTTCTTCTAGCTCTACAACAGCATTTCAGCAGTACGTGTCAGAGCCATCAGCTATTGCACTCAAGACAGTACAGACCAGTGTGGTTCCTGGCAGTGCCTTTAACTTTGGCCCAGCAGCATCTGGACTTGGCTTATATGGTGATGGCGCAAGTTTTCTCGATGAATATCGAAGTCCACCTACAGGCTATTACATTCCCCCTGGGACTGAACCTGGCCGTGACAAGCAGACCCCTGTCCCACCTGCTCCTACCCCATTTCCTTTTCTGGGTCACCCACAGCCACGGCCACCTACCTATCCACAGCTGGCTCCAGCATTTATTAATCACCAGCCAGCTTTGATGGATGCATCAGGGGCCACCACACCACTATATCAGCAGTACCTGCAGCGCCACCAAGAGGAGCTGTTGCGTCACTCGGCAGCTAGTGCCCCAATGGTGCTCCATCAAGGGCTTCTGGCACCCCCATCTGGCTATCCTCCTGGCTATCACCCTGCACTGGGCATTCGCCAGCCCTATGATTCTCTAAATCGCCCTTCCTGGCTATGATAGGCCATTCTGTGAAAGCAGAACTTTTTATGGCATGCAGCATGTTTCGCAGAGTTCTGTTGCCTATGGGACCAGGACATCCTTTCATTCAAACTGGATAAGTGAAAAGTGTGTCAAGTTAAAGACAAGACATAAGGCTTCTGGCTTCGATTATGTCGTGAAAGACTGCACTCATATTGTTGTGCTATATGATCTTTAATTAAGAAAGAAAATGTGCTAATTCCAAGAGCCAGCCCATTTTGTTTGAATGTCAGTATCATGGTTGCTAAACATATGAATCTGCTGGTTCAGATTTCATCTTTAATCACATTTGCCAGTCTTTGCAAACTGCGGAGTTTTGGTACGTGTGATGGGTTTCTGCTTACAGCTTGTGTATTAGGTTTTAAATTAAGTACAGTGAAAATTATGAAAAAAATTTATATTTATTGTAAGAGAACTGCACTGCGAAACATTTGTTGCATGTTGAATGAAAATACCAAAGATATTGTATCTCATGAAAGTGAACTTTTTTATGTACTTTGTACAGTGTGTGGAAATTACATTTTCCCATACAAATCAACAAACACCAGTACAGTTGTACACTTTGCATTGGGTCACAGCCTTCACATGCGACTACTTTTTCTTGTGGTTCTCTTTTTAATACTACTTTTTTCAGTTCTAAAGTGTTTTATCTGCATATTTTTGCAGTTAAGTGTTTTACTTTCATCAGATAGAAAATGTGTGAGAACATGTGTTCACTAGCCATTAATTTGGGTTAGAAAAATGTGTATGGTGTGCAACTTATATTTTTTCCCCTCAACCGAAGAGTGGAGGACTGAATATGGGCTCTCTTGTGTAGTGTAGAGTGGATGTATAAGTGTGCAGGAGCAAATGTGTATATTATTTTAAACAATTTTAGTCTGTGAATTATATAAGTATATATATATTTTCCTCAAAAATTCTTACACACACACACAGCTTAGAAATTAAACTTTTTGTAAATGCATACTGTTTTATGCAGTTTTATTCTCTGAATTGTATATTCTGTATTTTCATTGAAAAACTAACACATTGCTCTGAAATTAAACTTTCTGTACTTGATGAGCCAGCGAATACAAATCATGTTAGAAATGCTGCTTCAACTTTGAGGTGGTTATCATCACAGATGATGTGATTTTGGCAGGACTTTCTGAGATATAGACTGCAAAACCTTTAGGATTTGCAAATAGTTTCTGCCCTTACACACCCAGATTCTTGTATTGGAGGAATTATTGAAATAGTAGACTTATGTTTCTTATAGTTATTTGAAAGAATGTTTATTCTATATGCTTATTTTAAAAATTTTATTAGTATATATGTTATATAAATTCTGAACACTGGTAAATTGTGTTTCATTTGTTATATATGTATATATTAGAATATATTTTTATGATAGATCAGTCACTTGTAGGAACCTGAATATGAAATGAGTTTAGTATTAAGAGTGCAAGGGACAAAGTGATTTACGTTCTATTCCAAATCTGAAACCATTAGTTAAATTTTATTCAGCACCTTTTTCTGGTCCTCAGTAAAAAGTTACGCTTCTACGAAAAAGGTATACTTTGTGCAGTCACTTTCTGGGTATTACAAGAAAAACATGAACCCTCTGTACTGTTATGGTCTCAGTATGTGATGAAATAATGGAATCTGAACAGATAATCCCAAGTCTTAACATGTGTTTCCTTCTGTGATGCCTTTTTTATTTTGTGATTATTGCTTGATGGCATTAGTGACCTTTGTTCTGAAGAATGTGGTTCAATTTCTGGGTGATATTTTACGGCAGTTATTATCCATCATCTACAGTAATACACTTCTATTGTTCATATTTAGGTCACGGGATCGAATTGGGGCCTGGAGACCATTTATTCTGACTTTAGCTTTTCCCGATTCCTTCCAAGCAAATGTGGGAATAAATCATTAAAACAGGCCATGACTGTTTTATTCCACATTTTTGCTATTTCATCATTCAGGCAATCCAGCCATTTGATGTCCCATTGACAAAACATTGTTAAATAAACCAACAAACAAACAGCAGGCTGTAAGCATAGATACACTTCTTTATACACTTTTTGCTCCTATGTGGAACATAGGGGCATCCTTTCTTGATCTGTTAGACATTTGGTAGGACTCCTTGGACAAATGATCATCCCATTGCAAGGCCTCTTGAGTTTTACTAAATTTGAAATACTTTTTAATGTGCAAGTAATAAATTTGCATACCTATTTCTGCAATTTTAATGTCCAACACTACATCACAGAAAGAAGCCATCTCTGCCACATGTAGTCTACTGAAGTTTTGCAAATCTAGCTTCATTTGTGTAAATATTATTTAATTTCACAATGATTATAGGTTGACATGTGAAGGCAGCAAGTGAACCCGAACAAAATGTGTGCATACTGAAAACATGAGCACCAACCACGGGTTCCCATCCACAAACATCACAGTGACAAAACTGATAAGTACCAATCTAAAATGTTGCTTAGAGTTAAGAAATCCATACCTTAAAAAAGCAAAATCAAAGAACAAATTATTTAAATGAAACAACATTTTGTCATAGACCATCTAGAAATCAGCTGGTAATGGCTGAAAGGTACTCTTCTTCCATGTGTTAATATCTCAGAATTCGTCACTACTCTGTGTGCGCACAAGGATTTGTTGCCTGAAAGAAACAACCAGTTGGATTTGCCCATGGGTAATGCTCCTTTTTTTAAGTTCTGTCATAAGAAAATAAACCAAATTTAAATGATCTGCAATTTGTTGTTCTCATGAAGGTGAAAATGTTATTTATGGTCTTCTGGGTTACAGATGGAGGTGATATGTTTCTCTAAGACACTGGTAACTGCGTACAAGACCACAGAGCATCACAACCCAGAAGACCACTGTAGACAAGTTAAGATCACATTAAAATACAAAAATGCATCAATATTTCAACTTGTTATTCCCTCATTAAAGTAACAGATTTTTGTTTTATGACAAAATATGACCTGATACTTACAAGGATTAAGATCAGTATCATTCTTAGCTTTTCACATCGAAGCAAATGTGTATACGGTAGTACATATGCTCCACATATTTCGTATTTTATTCTGTGAATGCGTATACATGTGTGTATGTGTGTAAGAATGTTATTGTGTACAATATATAGGCCATATTTTACATTTTAAAGTTATCTGCACTACTTCTACACAATGTGCGATAAATATAGCCACATTTGTACATACTGTGTAATAATAATATTATTTCCCATCTGGAAAACTGCCATAGTTGAGTATAGTTGATTGAGCAGTATGCATGTTTGAAGTGTACATTCCTGTAAATAATAACCAATCAGCCTGCAAGCACTTTGTTACAACAACCAACTGAATGTACAGTCATGTGAGCAGCTTGTGTTACTGTAAATATACATACATATATATATATATATATATATCTCAATAGTAATGAGAATGGTTATTAACATAGATCATTTACTGAAAATTATGAATAATAAACACTTGTCTCTTATTTTTTTAGTGATGTCTGTTTAATATACCATCAAATGAAAAGTTAAGTATCTACTTGTATATCCACATTCCCCACATACAATATGTATGTTTAATACATTATCTCTAACTGAAAATGCTTGTATAAGATATAGCCATTTGCATATTCATATCTATACCTATGATAGGAACAGGTAGTAAAAAGCCATTAATACCCCTAACAAACTAAATAACAACACCCAGTAGTGAGCAAAAAAGGAACTAGAGTCTTGTTCTTCAAAGCGGTGACGTTCGCGGTGTTTCTTGCGAGCCTGGAACTTTTTCAGGAATTTTTCCACTTCCTTCTGATTCTGGCGTTCCTCCTCCAACTGCTTTTTAATTTTCTCTTGCTCCTTTATCTACCAGAACATTAACATGTGAGACATCCTTATAGCCCTTTTCCGTAAAATATTGTGCTACTCTTACATATTATATGGAACCAAATAACTGATAATCAGAGAGAATTCAGTCTTGAGATTTACATAGTTTTATGATGTATGAAACGTGACTGAGTGAATAAGAAAAAATCTAAGGAAAATCTTACAGCAAAGAAGACATCCATATTATTCAATACAAGTTTTAAAATCTTTGTACTAGAAATATTATATCAGATACTGAAGGGAAACTCCTAATAATAATAATAAACCAGATAATAAGAGTAGGGTGTAGCTTGTTCAACAAATATATTAATGATATCCTTAGAAACTGAAATAATGGAGTTATCCCTGGAATATGGCTAAACATGAATGTAGTACTCTTCTCATTTTTTGTAGACGAATAAGGATATAAGAAACTGAAGATGATGATGAATTGCAGAACTAAACATATTTTAAATAGCAATATTATTATTATTATTATTAACTGTCTTCACACAACAAATCAATATTATAATCTTCAGTATTTAATTATGTCTGTTTATTATATTACTAGCATTGGTCGTTTATGCAACTATATTTTACTTTTATAGTAATACATGAGCATCAAATGTATGTCTAAAACCTTCAACAACATTCATCAAAACTGACTAAACATGGAACTGCCTGTAACTAAAGAATATCAATGAAAAAAAATCTTTCTTTGTAAGTAAAAAATTGTACAACAGTCATAAATACCTTCATCTCTTGTTCTTTCTTCTGCCTGCAGATGTCATCACAGTCAACTTTGGCATGGCCTGTTCTCACTACATCACAAGGAAATTCCTTTCTAAGCCGACGACAGGGACAAGTGAGTTTTACCTTTTTCCGACACATATCTGGGTCAGGGCAATCACCAGGGTGACATAGTATACGACAACGATGTCCACATTCATACTATAAAATAACAAACAATGAACCTAAACTTTTATTCACCGTCACAGGTCATGACGATGTGGCATAGTGTCTACTCTCTACTGAATATTGCTGACAAAGTTTCTCTTCAAGAAACACCACAGCCAATAAGGAAGGCAGTGACAGCATTCATTGTTCAGTTGGACTGTATTTCTTCCTTGTTTTATAGCGGTCGCAGTAGTTTTTGGCCAGTGGAATATTCGAGGGGAAGGCTAGAAGCGAGTCTTGTACGATAGTATAATGTTTCATCTGCCTCCAGGAAGGACGAGGTTATCGGACTAAACATCCAAACAAAACAAATACACTGACCTTGCCACCTCAAGTACACAGAGTAGGTCTGTCCGCCAGCTCCGCTGGCTTCTCCACCGGCCAAAAACTACTGCGCCTGCTATATCACTGATATTGCTTTGTATTACTACTCACTCCAAATGCATTTTATTTCAACCTAAATGTGGGTTAAACAAGTTATTGGCCTCTTTATGAACCTAATTTATAATGCTGTGGCAATGGGAAAGTAAGTTCCAAGTTCTGAACAAAATGCTTACAGACTTAAAATGTATATTTAAAATCTGCTTTAAAACTGCTTACATTTTTGGGACACTGATTGCCACAACTTGTCAGGGCCTGTTTCTTGTCATCCTCAGCAGATGTCCATTCACTGCAACGTACATACAACTGGGCGAGGCTGCAGTGACACTGCACACGCAACATGTGGGAACATGGTGGACAGTCCCCTGAATGACAAGGCTTCTGGCAGATGTGTGTGCAACCTTCTGGACGAGGCTTCGTGCAACCTAACTCACACTGTTCACAATTATCTCCAGCCTGCAAAGGTAACATATTAAACAAATTTGATGAAATGTTCACACATGAGTAATTTAAAGGCACTTACATTGAAGGCAGACGGTGCTTTGACTGGAATCTGAGCTGAGTATGTTCAAAACAAAAGGCAGCTAGCTAACTTGTTTTGTTTGATATAATGTTCGTTCAACCCCTCCAACTTACAAAATTAGGTAATTTGCAAACTAGCTAACTTTAAAATATAAATCAGATCATCAAGTAACAAATTTTGTATTACAAATGGGTTACTTACAGCTGTTTCATTGGGAGCCCCCTCAACTGTATGACACAGCAGCCTACAGGTATGGTTCCCACACATCAACATTCGCCCACACTCGCGTTCACATGATGTAGGATTTGCGACGTAGCAGGGCCAGTCAAGTGTCTCATGACTGCCAAGGCACATTACTGGCACTGGTACCTTCACATAAGAGTTTGCACAACATATGAAAACTGTAATGTAAAATGTGCAGTCAAAGTGCTTCAGCATCTATTCCTTGTAAGCTCAAACTGCATAATGTAGAATGATTGATTAACAATGAGTTGGAAAGGATATGGCCTTAACCCCAGTATTTGTCCATAGGGAGGCAGAGGGAAATCACGAAAAACTTCAGTCAGGATAGCCAGGTCTCTGGGCCAAGATTTGAACCTTTCAGTTCCCAAAATTTCTGATGCAGTGCCGACATCTATTGCTTTCCCTCTGCACTTAGAAGTGTACTGGGCAGCAGAGACAAGAAGGTAAGATGGTAGCATGGTGCAAAGGTCACACAACTTCACAGGCCCCATCAGCACCATTTGTGATTTAGTTTCATGTCCTTTAAATTGTATTCATAATGACCAATGGAAATATTATGACGTCTGTTTAAACTATGCAGCTGTACCAGTGTTAAAAATCAAATTATTCTGTGCCAAGAGTTTGATTAAATTAATGCATTTCTTTATGCACACATAAATGGCAACAGTCAGGCCAGGGCTAATGAGGGATATTTTGAGCACTTGCTACAAAATTACTGCTCCAAGCATAGAGGGGAAACAAAGACTGTAGATGCAATTTCAGAAAGGAAAAGAGGGCTTCAGTTTGAAAGGACTATTCTTATTGTTTTGGTGTGTAGAACTCACCCATACACTTGTGCCTGACCTGTTATTCCCTGTAAATGCAATGTAATTCTCCCAATCAGCACTAATTTTATATTTTTATCATTGTATAAACTACATAATACTATTTGAAACTTTTATACAGAATAAATTTTTTGTTTATTAATTTTTCCAGCTGACCTTGCATCTAGGACAAGGCAAAGCTTTTAACTCCACTTGTGGCTGCACTTTGTCCCATGGACCGACTGGCTTCTTTTGATCCTCTTCTACCTTAACCCACACAGCAGAATGACACGGGGCTGGACATTTGTGCTTACATGGATCTAGTAACATCCCACACACTTGTTGGCAAGGTGGACAATCACCAAAGTGACAGCGATGAGGCTCTCGACTGGGATGGTGACAATTAGGCTTTATCCTGCGAGTATCAAAGAAGACATGTCTTGGTTTCATCAGATTCAAACTGTGTTCAAGGTAAGCAGGAGTAGAAGAGAGTACTCAAATGAGTACATACACACTTTTCCAAATGTATTCCTTACTATTTTACATACCTCATTGGCCTCTGTATTCATGTATAGTTAATACAAATACATTGTTGCAGAGCTAATCGCACTATAGATATCGCTGCACAAGACAAAAATAATTTTTATTTGACTTCCAAAATTCAATAAATAAAAAACTGTTTCAAATAAAAATTGTACATCCAAATGGTGTAAATTATATTTATATTTTACATCATGTGCTAATCTTCTGTACAATGAACCAGTTTTGAGACATCTGATGAACACATACATCAGACTTGAAAGACAAAGGCAAATGAATTGTTTTTATCTATTTGCTTATTTCATGCTTTCTTGATTGCACAGGTTATAAAGCATAAAATGGGTGGGTGAATACGAATAGTGAATTGGAAGGATGTGGAAGAAACCATTTGTTCTATATTTAAGATATCACCCAAGCTCTTATTTGGAGGGATTCAGGAAAGCCATACAAACCTCCTGGCTGAGATCAAGCTGGGACCAAGACCACTGAAAGATTAGAAAAAAATGTAAAGAAACCAAGAAATTATATTTCTGTCTCATATTCCACACACAATGAACAAGAACAAAGTCAATGATTGTAAGAACCAAAATCAGTGTGTATCTATCAGGCCACCACATCACATCATAGAAATCCCAAATGTCCACTGACAGTGATAATCTCCCTGGTACCTGCATGGCTTGCTGCAACGTGGCGGTCGAGTCTGTTTCTTGCGTCCACACGGGACAGTAAGTACTGTCAGTCCACAGTGGCACTTTATTTCTGCAGTCAATGGGCAGGGATAACAGGGCCCACGATGGCATACAGATGTGCACTTATGATTTCCACACTGCAGAGTTCTACCACATGGCTTTTCACATGGTGGGCAATTCCCATCACAGCACTGCAGCATAATATTAACAATTATAAACAGGAAATTGACAGCTTCTCAGAATTTCAAATTTACAAAACACTGTCCATCACCTCATATATATATATATCAGTATATACACATACACACACACAGTAGATCAAGGATTGCCAACCAGGTGCAAGAACATTATCATAATCTGATTATTGTAATTTGCATCTCTCAATAGATTCATAAAGTGCCCACTATAAACTATTCCTCATAGTCATCAACCACCCAAAAAAGGTTGGCAACTTCTGAAGTAGATGTCTCATTATCCATAAGCAAAGATTATCCTAAATATCTTAGAAGTGATTCCTAGCACAGAGGTCATCTCATTTTTAAGGTCTCTAATTTGTCAGTTTACATGCTCCAGATACTAGCCTCTTACTACGTTACTAAACCCCTTCAAATTGCCTCTTTTTGACCATCAGGAATGTGACATTCAATAAGTGTAAAACGTCATTAGTTCCTACCTTCCTGATGCTATCCACATTGTCTTAACAACCACTTCACAGAACAATGAGGCAAAAATGCTCAATGTACAGTTAGGTTCATCAATATTGTAATACTTCATTGCTAGTCAATGTTGAGTGGTAATGCCAATCGACTACATGTATTATTACAGTTGATGAGCATGGAATTCTTTGAAAACTGAAAACAGTACACTTACATTCAACGTAGAATAAAAATATACTGAAATAAAGCACATCACAGAACTATGCAGAAAAATAGTGACTATGTATTTAATTTTTCATTACTGCTGTATTCTTGTTTCTTATAAGCAATGCTAGTCTTTCAAAGCATTTAAAGTGAAGCAGTCTTCATAAGTACTTCTTGTAAAATGGAAAAAAAATATTTCCTAAAATAATTTATTAATAATGAAAATCTCCTCTGCCTTCAACTTCTTGTAAAATGGAAAAAAATATTTATTAATAATGAAAATCTCCTCTGCTGTCTCCATCATAAAAGCATTTAAAGTTCATTAGCTTATTACCTTACGATTGCAGGGATGCCGCATACAGTCTTTAGTTTGTTTACACTTGGTTTCACATAGGAATTCCTTCTGACAGGGCAGTTCCTTGCTATGAAGACCACAACGACACTTCTTTGTTACCACCATTAAACACTGTTATACAAAAAAGAGGACAGGCATTCATAACTGCAGGTAAGTGTCTTTAAACATGTCAGAAACTAAACTATACATAAATTCTATGGTTTAGGGTTTTCCTTGAAGTGTTGATAGTTAACCTAAGCAGGTCAATAAATTTCCTACTGATGGCGCAACCGGAACATTCATCCGTGTTCACAAAGGCAACCGGTGGAACCAATACAGAGCTAACAGACTGAAGAAATGTACATTGAAACTTTTTTCAGGACAACTAATTTGTGGGACAAAACACAAACCTGGTAGTTTCAAAATATGCTAACCAATCAACCATGAAATGGAGTTCTATAAAAAGACGTGACATTTCTGACATATTTCTTTATCACGGAGTTGCGTCATTTTCTTTAAAATATCAAGTGTTCCTGATGTTCTTGCAATGTCTAAGAAATCCGCTTCTTTCTGGGACACATCAGTGTTTTCACTTCACCGTCTTTCTTTTGTCCATTCTCATACTGTTCAACCAGTAGCTTTAATTTTTCACTGGAGTCTGCCTACTTATGGGGCACAAAACTCCACATAATCTTCTCCAATTTCATCAAAATAAACCTGTTAACATCATACATATAAAATCATACACAGCATGAGACAAAAGCTTTCACATACTTCAGTTTTGCAGGTGTAATCTCAGCCAGAACTTGACTGAAGATATACAAATAATTAAAAGTAAGAAGCAATAAAACACACGAGAAGACTTGTTTTTATATTTCATCTTACTAGTTGTGAATACATTCTTTTACACAACTATAACTGCATTATAGCAGGACCAGTAGCAACAGGAATTGAATGTACACATTCAAATATTAAGATGAAGATGTTTTATGTAAAAGGTTAGGTTTGCAAAATTATATTGTAAAATCAGACACAGTGTATTAAAAATATAATCTACAAAGCATAAAAAGAACTATTACTTACACTACCACATTTGTCACGGTGACAGCTTCGTGAACAGACATGAGCTCCACACTCAAGCGTATGCCCGCAGGTGTCCCCACAGGTGGGCGTCTCTTGTGTACAAGGTAGAATAAAAGAAGCCTTCCCACATGGACATGAGCGGGCCTCAGTTAATGGGCACGGACCACATGAACCAGAATGACAATCTCTTGCACACTTGTGATTACCACAGCTGAGGGCTTCACCACATTTCTACAACATGACAGTGCAGGCACATATCTGAGCTCAGTCTTCACTCTCCAAAATGACATTTACAGCATTCAGTTCTTTTACAAAATGGACAAATATGTTTCGTCATTGAATCATGAAGCAGGCTATCCCAATCAGCTGTGGGCACAGGTCTTTCTTTGAATAACTGAAACTCCAAACATTTTATTACACAACAGGTGTAGTACATTTATACAGAAGCTTCTGAGGCATTTATTTTGCAGTCTTATAATTAACTTTAAATATATATGCTTTGATGGACCACCACAGTGGTTAGAATGCTGGCCTTGTAATCCTGGGGTCCCGGGTTCGATCCCCGGCAGTGCCCGGACTTATAACTTGTGTTGGGCAAGGCCGTGGTCTAGGCAACACGGAGTTTTCCTCCGGGGGCTTCCCCTGTTTCTCCGTGGCATCCCAACAATTACTCCATACACAAAGAAGAAGGCAATGGCAAACCACTTCTGTATCACCTGCCTAAAAACATATGAACAGGTCCCAGTCCGAAAAAAAGGATGGAAGGATCCTGTTCATAATATGTCGCCAACCTCCTGTAAAGGAGACGGCGTAATAAAGAAGAAGAAGAATATGCTTTGATATAGACAAAACCAAATAAAACGGTTTGAAGTATGTATGGCATGTGATAGGTCTGGCCAGCCGAGATTATTTTTAAGTTTAACTTTGTTGTAGTTTCTGATGTGATGACAGCTTAACTAACACAGATGAGTGTACTAAAATAAAATGTCCCCGCATGTGCTCTACATACTGAAATATAATTTACTTTTTAACCAACTTTAATTACCTGGTTTAAAAACATAAGCATACAGTGAATTTAAATGTTGAAGTAAATAGTTGAACTTTTCACCAATGAATCATGAGCTAAATGTTTAAAAAGTGACAGTGGACACTTTGCTAATTCTATATGTATGCTGTTGCTTACTGCAATGTTCTGTCACAAAATCTTTAGACCTTACATTCCGTACAGTGCAGTTTACCTGTTCACACTGCCAGTTTGGAGTAGCACAAGGTCGCAGAACTTTCTGTTGACCACACTCACAACTCTGAACACTTGTCTTGGGGCAGGGTGGACATGCCCCTGGATGACACACATCAATACATGCGTGCCGTTCACATCCCAAAGTATGACCACACTTTGATCCACACGACCAAGTCTTGTTACTACAACGCTGCAAACGTGGTGGCTGGTTACCACAGAAACATTCAGTCTTAACCATTTTTGGACATGGTGGACATGGCCCTGAGACACAGACATAATATTCATAATTTTATTGGCTACATGGGTTATAGAAGAACTAAAAACAATCTGTACTAAACAAAAATCTGCAATATAAACCAAATGGTTTCAATATACTGATAGAATACAAAGAGTCAAACTTCACAAATGATTAAAAGATCATGAACATGCATTAAAATAACAGATGGTGACCTACAAAGAGGCTCTTGGACAACTGAAGCTGGAACAGGTCAAAAAATGGCCTAACTCCTCGACTAAATAATAATGTTTTGTCACGTTTTTCATTATACTCAGAACAGTAACATTCTGAGAGGTTCCTTCTTCTTAAAGCGCCTATCCGTTCCGGATGTTTCTAGAGCTGTATAAATTTAGTGTATTTACCCATCCCTGATGAATAAAAAACCTAGTAAAATGCAAAAGCATATGACAAGTGCTATTATTTGTTTACAAAACCAACATCTGCTTGCTACATTAAAACCTGTATATATATTGAAGATCTGTTGATAAATAAGAAAACTATGAGTCCCAGCAAGACATGGTGTGTTTATAAATGTTTTTTGTTTATATGCATTTATGAACAGTGGTTACCTGGGTGACAAAGAAGCAAGCAATTATGCCCACAGAGTGGCAGGAGGGCCTTTCCACATGTCTCCCCACAAGAATGTGGTACCAACCAGGGATGACATGATGGATCTTCTGTCTGACCACAAAAGCAGCGATATCTCTGAGGCGTATCATTCTGATCATAATCATGGCGACACTTGGGACTAGAATAATAACATTCACATTAACAATTGTTAACATTTTAGATAAACCATAAAAGTAAGTTCATTATACAACTGTGTTCTTTCCTTGATATGACAGACCAGGTTTCACACCCATACAAAACAACAGGTATAATTATAATTTTGTATGTTTATTCTTTATATAGATAGCAGCTGGGAAGACAGAAGATTATGAACTGAATAGAAGTAAGAATTTTAAGAAACCACAAGTCTTACCATGCCCATTTAAAACTGACAACTGCAAATCCCCGTGGCTGATCCTCAAGAGCTTGTTTCTGATGTGCTACACTGTCCTTTGCCCAACGCTGAACACAGGTCAGGTGGAAAAAGCAGTAACACTCAACACAATTCCATATCTGTCAAACAGAAAAGTTTATCGGCATACACAATCTAGAAACATTTTCAAAATTTTGTTAAGCATATGCAACATATGCCATACTGGAGACCACACCACAGAAATAAGAAAGAGATTACAAGAAGGTAGGAGATAATACAATTTGAAATAAAGAGAATTCTAGGTTCATTGACTGGAACCCATTCTTATCAGTAAAATTCCTCTGTCTGATAATGTTTGAACTCATTCTCTTGCCTCACTTCCCAAACCATTATCATATTTGGAAAAGTAGTGTGTGCAACACTCACCTTTCCATTGTTCATTTTCATTGCTGTCATTCTTTAAATCTGTGTCAAGATGGTTGTCCTTGACTTATATAGCAAGAGGCAGAGAGGAAGAAATGTGAACTGCACTTTATACTCAACTCAAACCTTGGTGCAATGCAATCGATATGGTTCCATTCCTGGGTTAAAAGATATGTTTGGCCTTTACTTTCCCTAACAAACTTCATGGACCAGAGTCAGTCTTGACAAGTTAATAGTCATTCATCTGATCAAAAAGTTTCAGCCTTTCATCAGAATGGAAGATTCATTACTATGTTCATATAAGCTTCCCAATGGACTCTATCCTCAGCCAGCCCACATTCAATATTTTCTTTCCAGTTTCAGACAACTTACATCGACGATACTGCTTAAGATATTACAGTAGTAATTACACAGAGATATGTAGATAGAATGGGTGAAGACAGGTGGCAGGGAATTATAAATATACAAGGCAAAGAATAAGAGAAAGACAAAAGAAAGGGCTGAAAAAATTATTTGAAGTTTGAACAAGCATGAAGTTGCCTAATCAATACAGACATGGAAAAGATACTTCAGTCTATTTAATCCTTGACAACAAAGGGAGGGAAAAAAATACTGATACACTGATATGATATATAAAACTATTTTATGTCCAAACCATGAAACATATAACTCAACATTCATACTTATATATATATATAATTATAAGATAAACCATGCCACTGAATAAAACACATTTTAATCAAAGTACAATGAAATCCTAACTTCAGGATTTTCCTCATTTAGGTATCAGTTTGTTGTTATAACATCTCAATTCTCTCAAATTCTCATTCCTTTAAGGTTCTCTTCAGTTTACAGTTAAAATTTATAATTGTATTGTGAAAACTTGAATGTGAATAGCTAAAAGAATGTCTTACAGCATCATTCCTTTTCACAGATCCAATACAAATAAGGCAAGAGGCGGCACCAGACTGAAAAGCATCCTCTAAGAAACGCTGTGTTCTTCCTAAGTCTTCAATCTTTCCTCCAATTTGTGAATAGAGTTGCAGTACAGATCCTGAAAGCACACTATGAATGGTAATATGGCTACAAGTAGAATAAAACTACATAATAACAACCTTCCCCTCAAAATGAAATGTTTATCCACTAGCAGTAAACAATTTAAAATGGCAGTAAAAGAATTCATTTTAATCAAACTTACTTTCTTCTCTGTGCATGTATTTATATTGTTAATAAATGGTGGGTATTAATACAGTTTTGGAAATGGGCATGTTTTCTCTGGTTGAAATTGTGTATGACTCTAAATGGAATGTAGAACTCATGAGCAACTGTTGATGGTGAAAGTGTGTGTAATCTGATCTATCTGAAGAAGTACTTTCTTTCTGGCAAATGTTCTACAACTGTATTGTATTTATAGATATTTTCTGAATGTGAAATCTTGTTCTCTGACTTGCTCTACACCCTGCTTTTTTAGGACCAATGGAATACATTTATAACTATCTATCCATGAACAACTTTAATTTTATTATTCTTGTTTAGCAATACCATAAACCAGGACAGCTTGATTAATGAAGTGACTAGATAAGTGCTGAATGGCTGTGGTTTATCAGTGAAGGTAGGAATTTTCCTCCTTCCTAGTACATTCCGACTAGCTATTCGAGTTAAATCTGCCATTTTCATGGCATGGTGCTTAAGCACAGAAACAAACTTTACTTTACATAAAGAATTATCTGCAAAAATGATTATGAATTATCGACATGAGATCAGTTCAAAAAAATATACAAGACTCTCACCAAGAATGTTGTCACTTTGTAGTTCTTCCTCTTCGGATGAAGAATCATATTCTTGTTTGATATGTTTTTGGACAGATGCCTGCAGACGTGCTTGTGCTTCATAGAACTTATTTTGTGCCAAGACTTCTGGACTAGGTTTCTTTCTGGAAGCATGATTCTGATTATAACCACCTCTCCCTCCACCCCGGTTCCACGGATTACTACCACGTCCTCCTCCTCGATGTGTATCATTCATCTTCTGTCACCCAGGTTACAGCATGCCAAAATTATAAAATCCAATTTATTACCTAATATACATGAAAGAAAGTGTGAACATATTAGTCAACTAAACAGAATACAGATGAGACAAGCAGTATTTTTTATTTAGTGAACTGCATAGATTGTATTGCATCTGGTGGTAGGATGCAGTCATAACCTACCATAAGAGGATCTGGGAGGTAAAAAAGTAAAATAATTATTACTTATTACAAGTATTCAAGACTCGAACACCAGACCCCTTCAACAACAACCAGCAATTCTAAACACTACACCACTTCACTGCCTGCCAAGCCGTCGTGAATGGATGGATTCATGTTTTACATACAAAGTGATTGTGTGATTTCTGCATATTCAACTTTTCCCAACAAATGAATACAAGCTTTTCAGGTATTGAGAGTGTTACAATTGTTATCAGAAATATGCCATACATATAGCTGTTAGAATTTTGAACAAAATTATTTTCAAAATCTGTATACAGTGAAATACATATGTAACTTTCCGGTATTTGACGACGTACTACACCGTTCTCCTTTTTTCCCCCCCTATAATAACACGTCGTAAACAGGACTGCCACCCAATTTTCACCACGACCTCAAACTCATGGGACACGTGAAATTATTTACAATCATATGAATGTGATGTGGATCTCGTCCACATACTACAGGTCCCCGAGACGTACACTACAGTGCTGGCATCCACTTTGCAATATGGAAATCAACGTTTTCGGATCTAATAATAGATGCCACTATAGGTGACTGAAGTTATCTAACTTAATTCATCTGTGGTGTTGTGTCGGCAATGAATCCAATGATTTTTCGATAAAGAGTAAATATTCTTGAATTTTGGTTACGCTGATCATGGTGTAAATTCATAATTTGTGTTTTATAACACATTCATATGAAAGTATTACGAGGATGTAAATACGAGGTCGGTAAGTATTGATGTACTGTTTTTTTAAAGTATATTTTTTGTTGCCGTTGGTTATTTAAGTGAGTTGATATCGAGAATTGAGGTTAGAACACTTCACTCTGTCAGCATCAGAACATAATTTAAATGTCTAATAAAATGGTAGGTTATCCTAATATTATAAAGGCAGGTGTATGTTGTCGCCGTTTTGTTAAGTTGTTTCGAGTGTTTGGCAGTAAACGAGCAAGTTGTTATAACGTTTATGCTCTAAACACATTCGGGATGTGTTAATGGTTTTCATCAGTCTCTTCATCCAGTGTCTCGTATGGTACCTTAAAACATGACATCTGCTTTCAAATTCTTACCAACTCATTCATGGTAAATTCCCATTGCATTCGGTTGAATAACCTCTTAAATTGAAAGTGTTGCTGTATGGTCTGTGAATAAATATATAAACAGTGGACTAACATACAAATGCAGCATAATCCTGAACCAAGCAAATCAACTGATTCAGATGTGTCATTTGTTAGGAATTGCAAATGTTTTTTTTCAGCAGTATTATCTTCAGTTTAGTTATGTCTTCACCAACACATGCCAAGACAGAATCCAAGGAACAGGAGGTTCCTGAAAAGGCAAAGGCTGCTGTTCTTGTTGAAAGTGTCCCCCTGCCTGCTGGAACACCAATTGTGAAAGGTTATGACTGGAATAAGGGGGTCAGTTATAAAGCACTTCTTGAAACATATCGTTTCTGTGGATTTCAAGCAACAAATTTTGGCTTAGCAGTGGAAGAAATCAATAAAATGGTATGCAGCAATCTGTAAACAAGTTAATTAGTTTTATTTCTTATAGTGTTCCCATTCATTGTTGACTTCATTGCCTTTAATTTTATTATTTGCTTTAAATGGTCAAGTTGTCTTGCCGTGCCATCCCATTGTCTGAAGACTTGGAAGATGTATTAGAAGAAGATGAATTTATTCGACGAAATAGCAACTGCACAATCTTCTTAGGCTTCACTTCCAACATGGTTTCTGCTGGAATTCGTGATACAATCTGCTTTCTAGTCCAACATCACATGGTGAGATACTTATGGTTATATTATTTCAGAAATTAAAGTAAATTCTCCACACCTGAGTTAATTTTGAGTGAAGTTTTACTGTTGATTCTATTTTGAAGGTAGACTGTATTGTAACTACAGCAGGAGGTGTAGAAGAAGATTTAATAAAATGTCTTGCTCCAACATACATCGGTGATTTCCATTTGGAAGGGCGCAAATTAAGAGAAAAAGGAATTAACCGGATTGGGAATCTTCTAGTACCTAATGAAAACTACTGCCTTTTTGAAGATTGGGTGATGCCACGTTTAGATGCTATGTTGGAAGAACAGAAAGAGAAGGTAACCTTTTTCATTACTGTCTAATGTTTGCATTAAAGTTTTTGCTTAATAATCATGTATAAATGAAGTTGTAACTACATTTTTTTAGATAGTTTAGTCAGTATAGTGCGTGGTTACAGGCTGTATGCCTGGGGTTTGTTTACCTGGCAGGAGCAGGAATTCTTCTCTTCACTGTCATATCTTTGAGTGTTATTAAATAACCCAGAAATCAATCATCACTGCTTTAGGGAACACTCTGGACTCCATCGAAAGTTATTGCAAAATTAGGAGAAGAGATTGGTGATCCAAGTTCCATCTGTTACTGGGCTGCAAAAAATAAAATTCCTGTGTTTAGTCCAGCCCTTACAGATGGTAGCCTTGGAGATATGATGTATTTCCACTCATACCGTAATCCTGGATTGGTGCTTGATATTATCCAAGGTAAGATAATTAATTGGCTTAGCATGTTTGACAGGGACAAATGGACTTTGGTATAGAACTTGTCGGTATTGTCAAAGAAAAAGTGAAAAGTAAGCAGCGTAATGAATTAGAAAATTGATAAATGTAATCCGGGGTAAGTTCATAATAAATATTAAGCAGAATATGAGACCATGAAAATCCTTGAATGGTGAAAATTGTACACAGGTACCTCCTTTTAAGAGCTGTAAGAAATATATTATAATCTTACCCTTTAAAATGTAGTCAATACAATAGAACTGTATATAGTTGTTTTATGAATATATTTATTTTATTATAGATCTTCGCCGTTTAAATACAATGGCAGTAAAAGCTGCAAATACAGGAATGGTTATAATAGGTGGAGGAGTGATAAAGCACCATATCTGCAATGCTAATCTGATGGTAAGATCTTCTTCTTCTTCTATGGCTCTCCGGTCCGTATTCGGTCCATGGCCTCCTCAATCCTCCTCTTCCATTCAGTCCTCTGTTAGGTCCATCTGTCCGAGGCTTTGATCAAGGTTTCGAAACATGTTCATTTTTACGGTGCAAGGTTGTTAGCCTTGCGACCAACCCCCAACCTGGAGGACCAGGGTACCTGTCTTAGTCTGACCTCTCCCCCTCGACCAATCTGGCTAGGGAGGCCCTACCAGTAGCTCTTGGGGTCACTGAGGTACTCAAGCCCCACCACCACGACAAGGTGCAGGTACCATTAAGTGGGGGATGGTAAGATGTTGCTCTGCACATATTCAGCATTCATGCAACATATTCCCATTTTTATAAATGCATGAACTATAGAGTTCTCGTTACATCCTGAAATCAGAACTTTTGTTGTAAAACATACTGATATGATGAACTAAACAACTGCATAGCCCAAGTTGTCAGTTATGTTTCAGGCAAATATCCAGGTTTTTTTCAACCTCACTTGTGTCCATAATCTCATATTATAGTGCATGTATAACTCTTGTCTGTAATTCTCAAAAGGTTTTGGTTGTTGGAAAGATATCTCTGATCCCTACAGAGGAATGGAGCTGATTATGCAGTTTTTATCAACACAGCATCTGAGTTTGATGGCAGCGATAGTGGGGCTCGTCCAGATGAGGCTATCTCATGGGGAAAGATCAAGAAGGATGCTTCTCCTGTCAAGGTGTTTAGAGACTCCTTTGTTTTAAATAGTTTTTTATGCATAAATTGCATGAAGTGAATGCATGTAGGAAAGGTTACATTGGTCTGTCTGTGTGTTCTACCTCCAGAAATTTCTTCTTCTATGGCTCTCCGGCCCGTATTCGGTCCATGGCCTCCTCAATCCTCCTCTTCCATTCAGTCCTCTGTTAGGTCCGTCTGTCCGAGGCTTTGATTGAGGTTTCGAAACATCTTCCTTTTTACGGCGCAAGGTTGTTAGCCTTGCGACCAACCCCCAACCTGGAGGACCAGGGTACCTATCTTAGTCTGACCTCTCCCCCTCGACCAATCTGGCTAGGGAGGCCCTACCAGTAGCTATGCTACCGCCAGCATAGCTCATGGGGTCACTGAGGTACTCAAGCCCCACCACGACAAGGTGCAGGTACCATTAAGTGGGGATCTCCAGAAATACTGAATAGATTTTCATGATGTTTTGTATTGTGAGTCTATACTGAAAGTTGTTTGCTGACAGCAATGTTGGTTTGCATCAGTTCTGTATAACGCAGTTATACAAAACATTGATGAAAATGTGAATGCATACAGGATGAGTGCTTACAAGAGAATAAAGAAAAATGTGAAGGGAGGCTTTACCAAAAGTCAGCTGATCTTGGTGGAAACATCAACAGATGGTGATGATTATGATAATTTAGTTCTGAGAAATATTTGATAATTTTTGACGTAAATACGTCTATATTTTAGGGTCAGTGTCATTCGGCAAAAATGTGTAACGAAAATGTGTTACGAAAAAGGGAAATGAAAAAGTGTAATTTCATTGTTATGTTACCTAGGAAACGTCATCTGTTTATCAACAAATAAACAACAATGGTTACCTACATACTTACCTTACATTACCTTACATTACATTACTTTACATTACATTCATCTACCACAGACCCATCTTAAGCGTAACTAATTCAAATTAAATAAGCAATGTCTTAATCAAACTTTACTCAATTGTAAAGCATGTATGACGTATTTACGTCAAATTCTCCGGAACTGTGGTTCCACTGACAACTTTTTATGAGTTTTTATTTTTCTTCATTTTTCCAGGTGTATTCTGAGGCAAGTCTAGTGTTTCCTCTCTTAGTGGGAGAAACATTTGCAAAGCGATATCATGCTACAAAGATCAAAGCTGAATCAGATGTATAACCTTGTATAGCCCTATAATTGTATTTAAAACTACATGTACGCATGTGTTCAGTCAGAACATAAATTGGCACAGAAATAAAATACCATTTGCTCATACATAAACAAGACTTTGTGAATTTTGTGTGATACAGGTAACAGATAAGGGCAAGACAGTTTGTCCCTACTAGTTCCTGTTGTTTTATGTCATCATTTCACATTTCAGCAAGGTGTTACAAATACAGTTTCAACCTATAACCCAAGCCTGCAAAAAGTTCATATAAAGACAAGAGCTACCTGCAGAACCTTGTAGCCAGAATACATATCACATACCTCGTCACTCCTTTTTTCAAGTCACGCTTGAGCACGCGAGGTCACTAAATCACGTTTCTACATGCTTACGTTATGTAATCTACAGCTCGGTTACTTTTTGCTACGTTACAATATGTTAGATGAAGATACGACAAGTTAGGTTAGGTTGGGTTAAGTTAGGTTTGGTTGGGTTAGGTTAGGTTGTTTGTTTAATAGATTTTATTAGGTTAGGTAACGTTTTTAAAGATTCTGTGACGTTTTGACATGTATGGCCACATCTCGTCACGCCATTACAGTGCGTCACGCTTTGTCACGGTTTGTCTCGCTTTTAAACTCTTGGTGATGTTTTAACACTTAAGGTGTCCTCTTGTCACGTTGTTAAAGGAGGTCACGCCTAGTCACGCTTTGTCACTAATATATATATATATATATATATATAAATAATTGATTATAATGTAGTGGACAGCAGCAGCGTTAGTGATGAATCGAGTGATATGTCAGAAAGTGATTGTCTGTGAGGAGTGGAGGAATTGGAGTAGGACCGTTGTGAAGAAGATGAATTTATCTAATACTTTCTGCAGTGTTAATTTTCTAGTCATGTCTATTTTATTGAAATCGACTTTCCCGTGTTACTTACCTTGGTGATATTTTATTTAGAGTGTACTGTATGCGGCCTGCTACCATCCCTTCCAGCAAACTTCTGGTAAGTGACTCGCTCCAAGGTACCAATTCACAAAGTTCAGCGGCCAAAAACGTTGGAACGCAGTATACAACGCTGCTAGCTCTGCTCAGTTGTGAGCCGTCCTCACTCGCCTCGGCTCCGCTGTTGCAATGGTGTATGGTTTTCTCTGTGGCTTTAAAGCATGCTGTTTGGTGATGGGTGTTGGCAGCTTCTGTTATAGCTTTGCAGTGGTCTGTGACCGACTTTTACTGACGAATAATTCACACATCACCGCCTCCACGAGCATCTTCTCTGAAATCCTGCAGACCGTAGTTTAATGGCCGTACCACAGCTCAAGCGGTTAATCACTGATTTCTCAAGAGTCTTCTGTTACCTCGTTCTAGGGCCGGAACAAGTGCAAATTCTGTCCAAGGAACAACTCATTTTTCTCAGCACATTGTCTCAATAACAGAAGGATCTTTTCCGTTTTCAGTCATCTAATTACAACAGTATCATGATAAAAAAAATGCAGCGTTAAGGTGCATTAGAATCAACCCCACGCATTTTTACGATGCAAAATTGAAAAGAATTCGCGGGCTGGATAAGCGCAGTGACCACGCGTGGTCCAATCTTTGAGTGAGAAAATTCTTATATATCGTTCGAGATTCGTTATTTTAATTCCATGTTCGATTTGTAGGCAAATTTTATTTAGGATCTCGAATTAGCCTACTTGCAGACATTTATTTCACAAACCTATTTTTTTGTGTTGTCAAGTTGTGCTCGTTTCCAACTGAAAGGTGCAAAAATGTCCCTATCAGATTCACCCCGTCTGTCTGTGTCTCTACATGTAAATAACACGAGAACGGACTTTCATGAAAATTGTTGCTCGTGAGTTAAACTCAAATCTGTCAACACGTTCTATTTTTGGTTAAAGTTAAACAACAATAACGGACACATCACATGAAGATGTTGAATACTCTGTAAATTGTTTGAAACAAATTAACTAATTCGTTCCTAAAAAGTTTATAATTATGAAACTGTAAAATAAATGTCCACGGTGGTCTAGCGGTTAGAACGCTGGCCTTGTAATCCTGGGGTCTCGGGTTCGATTCCCGGCGGTGCCCGAATTTATGACTTGTGTTGGGCAAGGCCGTGGTCTAGGCAACACGGAGTTTTCCTCCGGGGGCTTCCCCGGTTTCTCCGTGGCATCTCAACAATTACTCCATTCACACTCACATGGAAGAAGGCAATGGCAAACCACTTCTGGATCATCTGCCAAGAACGTATATGAACAGGTCCCAGTCCGAGGAAAGGATGGAAGGATCCTGTTCATATGGACCTGTCGTCAGACAGAACACTAAATAAATAAATAAATAAGTACAAATTATGAACCTCATTATGCAATTTTGTATTTTCTCTTGTTAAATTATCCTGTGTCGAAATAATATATGCAAAATCTTATCCTTATTATCAAAGTGCAATTGTCTGGGTGCAGCTTTAGAACACAATTACTGAATGTTTTGTGGACACACATTTTGGCTCGAGCTGTACCTGAGGAATTTACACCTAGTGATGAGATAAGTGAAATAAGCGAAAGTAAAAGTTTGGTCACGTACCGAAGTAAGATGACGCTATAGCGCACAGTGTGACGCTGTCTTAATGTTTGTCGTTTGCTTCATAGATTAACACACATTTTTTTGTCAGATTACAATTGTCTAACAATGGAAAACGCCCGCACTGTATTCATTAAATAACTGTAGTTACATGATGTATGAACGCATCACGTTTCGTTATATTTAAATAATAAAGATACTTAAGCAACAGTCTGAGCCGAAGACTATGTTATCGATGAACAAGAAATTCTATAAATAACTTACAAGCCTATGGTTATCGAACAGAGAGAGAGAGGTTTCTAAAACCTAAAAATTAAGAGCAGATAGTTATGAACGTTTACTTTAAAGTAAATATTAGTATTCATATCCAAAATGGTTACTATTCCGTTTACTTTGAGAACAGTAATTGTGTCAATGATGACCTTCTGGGTTGTAAAAAAGTGTGGCAGATAATACCAACGTTTCGGAAAAACATACTGCCGCAGTTTGAAGGTGGAGGCAGTATGTTGTTTTGAAATGTTGGTATCTACAAACAAGATTACATGGCGTTACAACCCAGAATACCAACATCGACATCTTCAGCGCCCTGAGAACCTCAGATCTCATATAATTGTGCCATTGAAATTGGTATCTTATTCTAGGGATGAACAGAAATTACAGGTGCCCGAAAACAGTGTCCCGGAAGATAATTTTTCTGGAGAGTGTTGAAGTGGTGACCTACAACAAACAGATTATAAGTCTAACTTAATTTATTTTGCTCACTACTGAATGCTGAATACAAGTGGTCGGGGTCTGAAACCTTTACATCGCATTGCAGAGAAGCGCTCCGAAGTACGAAGCTGGCTGCCAACAAAGGAATGCCAGGAGCTAAAGACGTCATGGATGCCATGTGTTCTCGAGGTCGTTCTGACAATTGAGATTCTTGTTGCATGATATTACCCGGCTGGTAATGTTATTCTAATTTTCACTCATGGCCTTTCTCTAGTTATCCTTTAATAAGTTACGTCACTGCTTTGCGTAATTCCTCTTACAGAACTTCTTTATTTAAATAAAATGTCTTAGGACATTGATCACCGAATTGACTTTATCGATCCCCGTCTTCCACAAAGCGTTTTGTTTGCTACCAGTCTTTGAACAGCCAGCCATAAATTGTAATAGACAGACCATTGTAGTACAGAACCGCCAAGTGCCAGTCAAATTGCCCTTCCCTTGGCCATGTCCCGTGGGTCACATGTTGACAATCGTGCAGGGATTACCGCTTGCCAATATGGGTAGCCCCGCTGAAGCAGTTTCGGAAATGATGTACCTCGGGATCACGACCTTCGTCGTGGATCATATGCGCATTCAGTATTTAAAGACGTACATAGAACCTCCAATTAATTTTGAAAATGGAAGTAGTTTATTATTTGTTTTAGTAAATATTTTACGTTTGTTTGGACATGTCTGCTCACCCCGTTCTGTTTATTGTTGAAGATAATTTTGATATAATATCCCAGATGTAAAAAAATTGACGAGTAGGCGGCTCAGTTTTCGTTCAAAATGTTTGTGCCAAAATGAATGCAGTATGGAAAGGTAGTGCCTGTTGATTTTTGGCTTGCGAAGGCCTGCCTTGCATCTCGTCCTGTAAATTAATATATAAAATTTATCAATAGTTTTCTTGTTTGCGTTTCCATATTTCATTAACTCCATGCCAAGTCCTTATAGATGTTGGTAATTATCATCATCTACAATATTTTTTATGTTTTAAGTACTTTGGTTCGTGGAAGTTCGACATGAAGTAAACTGTACTAACAGACTGACATGATGTCCATGATGTCATGCTCTTGGCAAATAATTTCTACATTTTACACTTCTTTCGAACTTCGTACAAGGTCTGACGTTATTACGCCATGCTAGCCATGTTTGCAGCGCGATCTGTAGGTAGACTTTCTCTACTCTTAATTCTTCTTTGCTTTCTTCGTGAGTTGGTGGTACTGTGAGCCGATCTGTCGTGAATCGAGAGGTCGAGTGGGACGGGTATGTCAGTGTTGGACCGAAAGGAGGGTCGATTTGATGTCTGAAGTTCATAGGTAGCCACGTATTGTCGGTGGAGTTTTGTTTGTGTGTTGGTGACTTAATAGTACAGCGTTCATACGTAAGTTTTTGTTTCGACTTAATAAGGAAATCAATTATTAAGTAGCGAATATTAACAGTGCCAACACAGTCATGAAAATGTCAGGTTCAACTTGCATATTTCCTCTGTGGTTGCAGCTAAACAGCTATTACATCCTAAGTTATGTCTTTTCTCTTATAGTAACATCATGGTGATCAAGAAGATCTGTTGTATTGGGGCAGGTTATGTTGGTGGTCCAACCTGCAGTGTAATGGCTCTGAAATGTCCTCACATAACTGTCACTGTTGTGGACAAGAGTAAGGATCGTATTGCACAGTGGAACTCTGATAAGCTGCCAATATATGAGGTATTGACTTGACTAAAGTTAATGAAATTAGTATCTTGTTTAAAATAAATTTTATGAAGGAAGGGAGGGTACCTTCTTCTTGAAAGGAGAATATGCTTCTCACATCTCACCATTACTGTTACTTTTCTATAAATATGGCTACACATAAACCTACAACAACCATTCTGTTGCCAATTAATTAGATTACAATATTTGTATAGAATTTTGTGAGGTTTCTGTAGGAGTGTGTTGTTTATTTCAGCCTGGTCTGGATGAAGTAGTTGCAGAGTGTCGAGGCCGCAATCTGTTCTTTTCTACTGACATCGAGACAGCAATAAAAGAAGCAGACCTAATCTTTATATCTGTGAACACGCCCACCAAAACCTTTGGAAATGGAAAGGTGACTTTTTTGTAATACTGTCATAACATTCCCACACACGTTTATTTTAAACTTTCACTTTTAACTTTTCAAAACTGTAATGTACTTTCATCATACTGTGTTTTTCACCCTTTCACCTTTAAGCCAGTCATAAACAACCAACATGGTGAAGCTGTGATACTTTGAGGTATTTAAGTAATAACTACTTCCCAAATATTATAGTAATACACATAAACCAAATGTATACTAACCTATAATCAAAATTACATTTTATTGTTAGATTATAAACTCATACAGCACTAATAACACAATATTTCTTGGACTAGAAATGTATGTAGGCCTAATGAGTTCTGCCCAGAACACCATATTTTTCTCTTTATGACTCAGGCAGTACATTCTGTGTATAAAAGTCTTCAAATTTTAGTCTTAGCACTAAAATAACGCATTGAATTACAATTACAGTTGACAGCAGCCTGTAAATCAGTTTGAATGACATGTAATGATAATAAGTCTTTCTCTCATATACTATCTGACAGTTAGTCATCCACACCCACTTCATTATGAAACCCAGACAATGGTTGTGACCTTGAACTAATTTTTTTTAAAAAAAATTCTGTCATATTTTATAACTTATATGTAAGTATGTGATCTTGTTGGAACAGGGTCGTGCAGCAGACTTGAAGTATGTGGAAGGTGCTGCGCGGATGATAGCTGAGATGGCATCTGGTGACAAGATTGTGGTAGAGAAAAGTACAGTACCAGTACGTGCTGCAGAAAGCATATTGAACATTCTGCGTGCCAACAATAAGCCTGGTGTTAGTTACCAGGTACCAGAAATCTAGCCATTAGCCTTAAATTTGAATTATTGTCAAACATTACAATTCACAAATTACTGAGATTTAAAATTTATTAATTCTGAAGGGTTTTGGCGATGGCGTTATATAGTCTTGATTGTCGGGTATTTGGAGGTAGTTTATCATCTGATGTCATAAGACACGCAACGTTTTGAGAACTGGATCTCTCCTCGTCTTCTTATGTAATGAAAGGGCCACATTTTCTTGCACTTGCAGTCGAGTGGTTATCATATTTGCTTTGTATTCAGCAGATCCCAGGATTCAGATCTTGGCCACAAGATCAGTTATCCTGACTGATTTTTTGCAATTTTCCTATTTTCTCCAATAAAATGTCTGGTTAGTATCGTAAATTAGGCCACAGTCACATCTTTCCACATCCCTTTACAGTTATTCACTAATTATCCTACCACTTGTTACTATTCAATCTGAACTATTGAATCCTTCATTAAATAAACCTTGAATCTTACAGTTTAAATTCGTATTACAATTAAATTTAACACACGCCAGTATGTGCCCCCAATCTGCACAGGTTCTAATTGAAGTCTGTTGTTTTTATATAGATTCTGTCAAACCCTGAGTTCCTTGCAGAAGGGACAGCAATAGATGACCTTCTGAAGGCAGACAGAGTGTTGATTGGTGGAGAAGACACACCGGAAGGACACGCTGCTGTAGAAAAGCTTTGTTGGGTTTATGAACACTGGATCTCTCGTTGCAATATAATTACTACTAACACCTGGTCTTCAGAATTGTCAAAATTAGTGAGTATACAGCTTATATTATGAGTATAAATTGCGTTACGTTATGGTGTTGAAGTGTTTGGATTGGATGGTCTCAAATATCCTCATCTGTCATGGATTGGGACCTTTGGGATGTTCTGATTGTTTTTGATTTCTGAAATAATATAATAAAGCTTGTATTTATGTTTCCAGAGTGTGTGTGTGTTCCCATTATTTATGTAATCTCTGTTAAGTCCTTTTGAATTTCGTACCATTTCAGTGGTTTTTGTTTCCACAAATTGTATGTAATTTCATGTGAATTTCTCTTGTTTTACACCATTCTTTTTGTCACCAGAGTTTTTTGACGTAAATACGTCTATAAGGAAGAGTCATTCGGCAAAAAAGTGTAACGAAAAACGGAAACGAAAAAAGGAAACTTAAAAGGGGAACGAAAAAGTGTAAGATGGTTACCTAGGAAACATCATCTGTTTATCAACAAATAAACAATGGTTACCTAGGAAACTTCATCTGTTTATTGTTACCTATGAAACGTCAACTGTTTACTCAACATTATTGTTACCTAGGAAACGTTACTTCACATTGTATTACATTACTTTCGTTATTGCAGCAAGAGCTGAGCTGTGATTCGCTTGTACAAGAAGTGCGTCGTGGAGTAAATAATTTTGTGCTGGTAATGTAAAGTAATGTACCTTACATTACATTACCTTACCTTACCTTACATTACATTACATTACATTCAGCTACCACAGACCCATCTTAAGCGTAACTAATTCAAGTTGATTAAGCAATGTCTTAATAAAACTTATCTCAATTGTAAAGCATGTATAAAGGAAATATTTAGAATAAAACCAATAAATAAACTTCCTTTCCGTTTAGACGTATTTGCGTCAAATTCTCCGGAACCGTGGTTCCACTGACAACTTTTTCATCTCCTCCAACTGTTGGCTATACTAATGAGTTAGTTGCCACATTGCAAGCATCATTTTTGCTTTCAGTATGTGATTTCTTTCAAGGTAGCTGTTATTGAAGATTTCTGTCTTCTGGGTTGTTGCGCTGTGTAGTCTGGTCGACGTTAACCAATGTTTCAGAGGTCATACTGCGTTTCATCGCCTTGATGACAGAGGCAGTATGACCTGGGAAACGTTGGTTAACATTGACCAGACTACACAGCGCAACAACCCAGAAGACAGAAATCTTCATACTCACCGCTGTGAAAACCTCAAATCTTACATAGCTGTTATTGTTTAATGTGTAAGCTAAGTCTGCTGTGTGCACTACAATTGTTTAATAGGATTCGCTTGCCTGATAAGGCAGAGTGGCAACATAAAATGTTTATTGCAGCCACGGTCATATATACTGGGTTTTTAAAAAGATTTTACATCACCAGTGTTCATGCTTTAAATTCCATCAATCAACATTTTTAAAGAATTCTTGGGTGAGTATGTCATCCTTGAAGAATTATGAGTTATCGTATTCAAACTGCTTGTATATTTTATAATTCTTATATTACAGGCAGCAAATGCATTTCTGGCTCAGAGAATATCAAGTATTAATTCATTATCAGCTGTATGTGAAGCAACTGGTGCAGATATCTCGGAGGTAGCTCGAGCAGTTGGTTTAGACTCTAGAATAGGATCAAAATTCCTGCAGGCATCTGTTGGTGAGTGGGCAATCATCCTTAAATTAGCAAGAATTTAATAGTGTACCTCAATTTGGAGTATACTGTAATGTGTTATAATAAATGACCAATGATTGTTTTCTTACAGGTTTAGCTTTATAATGACGTCTCATTTTATGTAAGGGATGTATTCTTTGAAATCATTTGTTAAGTAAATTTTATTATATGAAAGTGGATTGCTGATTAATTTTAAGGCAGTAGTTCCAGGTTTTTGTTATAGTGGTGGGGCTTGAGTACCTCAGTGATCCCAAGAGCTATGCTGGCGGTAGCATAGCTACTGGTAGGGCCTCCCTAGCCAGATTGGTCGAGGGGGAGAGGTCAGACTAAGACAGGTACCCTGGTCCTCCAGGTTGGGGGTTGGTCGCAAGGCTAACAACCTTGCACCGTAAAAAGGAAGATGTTTCGAAACCTCGATCAAAGCCTCGGACAGACGGACCTAACGGAGGACCGAATGGAAGAGGAGAATTGAGGAGGCCATGAACCGAATACGGATTGGAAAGCCATAGAAGAAGAAGAAGAAGACTAAATATAAAGGATTTAGAGGATATGAAGTACCGCTATTTGAAGATGTGTGATGCTTCACTCATTGATAGGAGTTGAAGGCTGATGAAGTCAACTTGATATGTTTTCATTATAGCAATACTGTAGTAGTTTTTGTTAGTGTTAGCCTGAAAATGTGTTTAAGATGGGGAGTAAGTTGAATGTGATGTTCTTTTACTCGGATGTAGAGGTGGTCTTAAAATTGTAACTTATACTGTGACTTTATATTCCTTCATTCTTTGTGGTTACTGTATACATCCAACTACCTCCTGCATATGAATTGTTTATCTTGAACGAAAAATTATCCGTGTGCAAAGGTTAATTAGATACATACGGTATATATATGACACTGAGATCATTAAAGCGGCCCATCCACGTACGAGTCTGGCTTGCGAGTCCGGCTCGGCTCAGGTTCCATTGAGCCAAACTCGTATGTGGTTGGGGTGTCATGAGCCGAGTCTGCTATGCATGTGTGGTGAAATATATCCGAGCCCGGCTCACGAGTCAAGCTCGCCGAGCCAGACTCGCAAGGCAGACTCGTACGTGGATGGGCCACTTAAGAGTGTGTGTATGCATTTATGTGCTTTGTTTCAGCTGAACTCAATTTTGTAACTTATAAGAACTTCTTTTGAAGCAGGAAACCTGTTCCATTTAAAATGTAATCTGCAATAACTCTGTTATTTAATTGAAGCAGCAAAGGTTTGATTTACTACAGGTCTAAGTATTCTTTTGTTTGCCACCACATTCATGCTTGCTCAGGGGCTGGAATCTCTTTCTATGCAGATACAGCAGCT